GTGTTCTTGGTATATGGCGGATTGGAAGACGAGCTCGCTATAAATGGTTATACCGATGCTAGTTTCCAAACCGATAAAGATGGCTTCAGATCGCAGTCAGGTTATGTTTTCTGCTTGAACTATGGGGTTATCAGTTGGAAGAGTTCCAAACAGTCCATCGTTGCAGATTCCACTACAGAAGTCGAGTACATAGCAGCATCGGATGCAACTAAGGAAGCCATCTTTATCGGTTTGGAAACTAGCATCGGTATAACCATTTATAGCGAGCTCGTCTTCCAATCCGCCATATACCAAGAACAAATCATTAGTCCTGAAGGTAGTAGTGGAAGTACGCACAGCATTATTAGGGTAGTTCAGCTATTTCCCCCTTTCATTATATATATAAAGAAATTCAATAGGATTGCAGACTAAATTGGTCAAAGTAATATTGTATGTGATTATTTTGGTACGCAGAACCGATCTTATATTTTTCAATGCAAATGATTATTCTCCCGTTGTTTTATGACCACGAATATTTAAGAATAAATATTTGAATTTGAATTATAAAGAAATTAAATTGAAGAAAATATAATCACACTTTAATAAAATTAATAATGTATATTTTATGTAAAGATTAAATTAAAAAATTTGAATTCTAAATGAATATTAAAATACACCAAAAAATTAAACAAAATTTATTAAAAAAATAAATATTCTCTAATAAAAATGTAATTAGAAAATAAAAAAATAAATATAATCAAGTATGTTATCCACCCTTACTAACCGTACAAACCATAATATGTTAATTTTTGGAAGCTCGAACTTTTAATTGTTCACACATGGTACGAAAACCAAATCTATTAGACACTTGCTGGCCAAAATTATGTAAATTATAGATATAAAATTTTAGGACTTTTATATCATATTACGTAATTATTTCAGTATTTTTTGTATGTTTTATATGTTAAAATAAACGTCTAGAAAGCTCATCGAGTAAACGACGTTGAAGAATTGCCTCCTCTTTGATTCTTTAAGGCTGTACGTGGTTGACCACTTTTATCCTTACCACCATATTATTATTATTATTATTATTATTATTATTATTATTATTATTATTATTATTATTATTATTATTATTATTATTATTATTATTATTATTATTATTACAAATTCCCAAAAAAATACTGTACTTCGCAGTTTTTTGACCAAAAAAATTATTTTTTATCAAATAAATATTGAACTTTTTAAATGAATTTAAGAAAACACTGAACTTTTTTAAGTGATCCAAAAAATAAATGAACTTTTTTGCGATTATCACTTTTTTAATGATCTAAAAAAATACATAAACTTTTTTCGATTGTAAAAAAAAATTAAGTAAAATAATTTGACGTATTTGCATCTTATTGTGTCACGTTATTCATTTTATTTATTTTGACATCGTAAAAGAGTTAAGTATTTATTTTGTCAAACTTAAAAAATTTAATATTTATTTAATAAAATAAAAAGTTCAGTAGTATTTTTTTTATCAAAATTTAAAAATTCAGTATTTTTTTTTTTTGGATTTTCCATTATTATTATTATTATTATTATTATTATTATTGTTGTTGTTATTTCTTTCTTGCTAAAGGATTAGATCCAAATCACGTCACGAAATGCGTAATTGTCTCCTCTTTATTAGCCATTTGAATATTGAATTTTATATTTTCTTTTGATTGTATTAAATTAATATCTGAAACGTTCGGGAAGGGAAGAAAATTCAGCAAGCAACTGTGGTGGCAGCTTACATATAATTCCAAATTAAATATAAATAATAATTCGACAAACAGCACACCTAAATTATTTTTTGTTATTTAAAAACGGATATAGAAGTCAACACCTTCCAATTCAAAGCTTCGAGATCCTATATTTCTTCTTCGTTATGAACGAAGGCTTCTTTTTATTTGTTTTTTTTTTCCTGGTTAAAAAAGTATTGCTTTGAAACGAAATCTAATTATCTTGTTTATTTATTTCGAAACCCAATTATTTTACTTAAAATCACAAGTTAAATGTTTTAGAATCGTTCATACATACATACATACATATATATATATATAATAGTGAGGGCATTTATTTACAATTTTTTTTTAACCAATCGTCCACGCATATTTTATCAAGTAATTTTCAAAGATCCTATACGTGCTAATCAAGTTTTACGAATCCACAAAGTCGTCTGAATTTCAGGAAAACGCTTTCAGTTATTTTATAAAGGAAGAAGAAAGAGATTTGCCCAAAAAAAAAACCAATACAAGAAAGCTTTAATTGCTGGACAAGTAAACTACAAAATAAATGATATTAAAATTGGTATCTAACATCACATATCTTATATTTGATATGACACGCTTCATATAGTCTGGAGTTTCTATCTCAATCTCCACGTCACTGGTAACCCCCGAAACCCAGACCAAACTCCAACTTATCCGAAACTCATGTTTTGATTTTGTGGGTCCGAAAAAATTCGGGACTTTGGATCAGATTCAATTTGTGGGTCCAAAAACTGTACCCGAATCCGAGTTCTGCTTTGGATCTGGTTCTATGAACTCGAAACAATTCGGAATCTGGTCCCAGCCGGAAACCTTCGGGCCCGTTGTGGACTCAAAATGGCCCATTTGACACCATTATTTACGGAACAACCATTATAATTGTTGAAGTCTTTCTTACAACGCCATAAAACAGGGTTTAAACAAAAATATATTATTTTCAGGAATTTATTTGGATATCGTACAGCGGTTACACAAACTTGGATTTGGAAACACGTAGTATTCGATTTTTAAAATTATGATTTTAAGATCGTAGTAGACGGGTGTAATCAACGAATATGAAATTAGAATTTATTTTTTTAATCTCAAAAACTGATAAAAGACGTAATGCTTTTATCATTTATAGTAAAAGCTTTCAACCGATACATAGACATACGATACAACAACATAACCCCGGAGATTTCCCGGCCGGCCGAAACCTTTCTTGGGCCACACGGTACACACATTAAACCTAAACTCTAAACCCTACACCAAAACCAACCCGAGAAGTGCCAAAACCAAGAACCCGACTCTCGAAACCCCAAATCTTGTAGTCCCCGAAAACCAAACCCTAACATCGTCAACCACGGGCCCACACAAGGAGCTCATATCATCGGTCCTGGTGTTGTAATAAACGCTGTAGAACGCGATCCTCGTCCTGTCGGCCTTAGACGTGAAATTCAAATCCGCCCTCTGGAAGCTCGAGTTGGACTGAGCCATGTAATGAACGTTCTGAGCTTGATCCCCGGCGAAAGCCATCACGGCCAAGGGTTCCTTGCACTTGTCGCCTGCATGGCCGAGAGAGAAGGAGAGAGTGTAGGGTTGGTTCGGTTTGGTCTCGACCATCTGAGAGATTATGCCTTCTTTGCCCGAGAGAAGCTCGATGGCTCGCTTGCCTTGTGGGACCGAGAAGTGGTCAGAGTCGATGAACCGGACCGCCCGGTTAGACTCGACAGTCCAGCCGGGGAGGGACGAGGTTTCTTCGTCGAGGTTTGTCGGGAGAAGAACGCCTAGAGTCGTGTTCCTGAACATCCATGGACCTTCTTCAAAATCTCCATTTATCACTGCGTTTTCTGTGTCAGAGAACAAGAATAAAGGCCATTATAATCCCTTTAGACAGTACCATGTTTGATATATATTGATCACAAATACACATCAAGGAGCGGGAAAATTATCCAGAAAGATCCGAACTTTAGCGAAAAAGAGATGAAAAATCCGATAACAACCCAAACTTTTGTAGTTACATTCACAGAAAAAAGAAGAACAAGAACAAGAACACCCTTTTATCCTAGCTGACTATTTCAATAGACCATAATACAACATCAAATTCACGAAAGTCCGTGTTTTTTTTTCATTCTTTCTAAATTTGCAGCACTTTTAATGAAAAATTGTCAAGTCCAAAAAAAATATGATCTTTAATTCCTGATTTTGGGTTATCTCTTACTAATCACATTTGGCGGGGTCAAATCGAAATATTATCAAAATTTTGGGTTCACAAATAAAAAAGAAAAGGAGAAACTAAGAGTACCTTTGGGCTTATCAGGAGTGAAGAGTTTCTTGACAGCGATGTCGTCGATGATGGGCCCACAAGTGGGGTCGTCCTCCATTCCCGGGTTCCTAAACGCCAAACGCACTTTCTCCTCCTGGGCCTCAAACGCAAACGCGTAAGGGTCCCACCCCTCAACGCTGTACAGCGTTTGCAGGTCTATGTTCTGCGATGCGGTCACCGCGTCCGCATCCGCGTCTCCGGACACCGACACGTTCAGCGACTCCAGCTGGGCACACGTCCGGGCGGCGCTGAACGTGACGGAATAGACCGAGCCCTTCTCGACCGTAAGGTCCTGGCTGATCTCGGCGTCGTTGCCGAGCCGGACGGCGTGGCGGCCCTGCGGCACGATTAAGATCATCCCGCCTTGTTTTTGACCGGACCGGACGAGCTCGACCGTGCCGTTGGACCTCCAGCTCGGGATTCCATTCGGACCATCGACGACCCCGTCGTCGTCCGGGAAGCCAGTGGACGGCGTCGTTTCGAAATCGCCGTTCACGACTAGTCCTGTATAAAAAATTGAATTAATGTCCGATTAAAAGTGTGAATGAATCTATTAATATATATATATATATATATATTATTGTTTATATTTCATTTTCCACATTGTTATATCCGAATGTTTTAGGTTTAACTTTTTTTGTTTTGGAAATAGCTTTGTTTTTAAATTATATATATAAAAGACATTTTGGTCTATGTAACTCCTAAAATTTGAAGGAAACAATTAATAATAATAATAATAATAATAATAATAATAATAATAATGATAATACAGCTAGCAATCCCATTTTCCCTCGTCCAAAAGCTGAGAGCATATGGGCCATCGCTCTATTGGGCCGGGCCCACATTACTTCTTTTTGACTTGGAAACCACATTTACATTCTACAAATGCCCTCTTTTTCAAGAAAATCCTTTTTGTAATTTCCCAAATAAAAAAGGGAATAATTTTTTCCCAACGATTTCCCCCCGAAATAGAGACATTAAATAAAAAAGGAAACAGGGTTTAAGGGAAGGTTGCGGGCAAAGCACATGGCATTTCCACGCCGTTTAGCTAAGGAGCCTATGCCGTTTTCATAGATAGACATTGAATAAAATTGGATCTCCTTTTTTTTATTTTCAAGAAAAAACAACTACCCATGTTATTAAATAAATAAATAATAATAATAATAATAACGATAGTGATAGGATTACTAATTCCGTACGTTTTCCTTCTAAATTATCAGTTTATAAATTTATTTATGAATTTACACTTTTATACACTAAAAAACAGTCAACAGTTCAGAGACAAGCAAATGAATGACCTTCAAGTGAAGCTTTTTCTAGAACTGCCGCCGAAAGCATATGATGGTCGCAATTATATCAGTATGTACATACTTTTTGAAATTGACAAATTGACCCAAAACTTTCACTTTATCCCGGATTGTGACCGATTGAACTAAAATTGCATTTTTCACCCCCAAGCTAAACAGGTGTATATGACGAGCTTGAAACAAAAACCTTCTTCTCAATCTTATTTGCGTCAATGACAGACTTTAAATTCGCTAAACATACCATAAAGATTGAAACTTGGATTACCACTTAAGCTAAACATATCATTCATTCATGAATTCACGGCTTCTGATTCAATGTTCGAGTCTCTAACCTACGTAAAAACGTTAATCTAAGCAGTGAAATAGAAGTGGATATGGGGGCGAATTCTAAGAGTCAACCCTCAAATCTACAGACAGAACTTACAATTTCATTACCCATTTCATGTTTTAGGGGAGAGAATCACGGATTATGGGTTTACTGTAAATCTTATGTTCTTGGTCAGATTTCTAAAAATCTGAAAGAGTAAAGATTCATGCTTCAAGAAGCGAAGAACCATTACAAGAAAAAAAAACCATCATAGAAACACCAAGAAAATTGCAGAGGGTATGTGCGAGAGAGAGGGCTTACCGTCCTCGACCGCCGGAGCTCCGCCGTCTTTGCCGACAGCTGCTGCAGCGAGCGTAAGCATGAGGATGGTGACCCATTTGCATCTACTGCTCCTCCAAGCCATTCTCTCTCTCTCTCTCTCTCTCTCTCTCTCTCTCTCTCCCCCCCCCCCCTAGCAAAGGTAAGGTCGAGGGGGCAATGCCCTTTTAAACCAAGATTCCTCCCCTCCTGTCTAATTCAATTATTTTGGTCTTAAATTAACCTAGGGTTTAGTCATACCATGCACAGATAACATCATTTAACATTATATACACTAGATAGTGGAATAAGTGGCATTGGATATTTCAAACTATGCTTTTATGTGTGTAATATATATATGTATGTATGTATATGGGTGTGTCTAAGAAGTGAGAATAAGTGGAGACCAACCTATTATCAACTCTCTTTATGTTGGGAGTATGATTAATTTGACAAAAAAGGGTCTCTTTAGAACTCTAATCTCAGCTTTTTACTGTTGCAGCATTTTTTCCGGGATTTACGATTTGGACAGGGTTAATTCTGTCAAGTTACATGTTCTATGCATATATATATATATATATATATATATATTGTCATACGTAAATGGTTTACATTCAATACAATTATTTCCCCTATCTACATAAAGATAGATTGATGCGATAGTAAAATGTGGTTTAGAGTCTGAACCAAGTGGCTTTATACGGAGAAAATACGGTGCGCACATACATTTACGTGTGTAATGAATGTGTACATACACACAAACGGGCGACAGAAGACCGTGTATCGGGTTTTGAGCTTGTTTCTCGGGAGAAGCATTATAAAGGTTGGATTACAGGTGGATTTAGTAGTGAGTTCAAGAATATTCCAACAAGTTCTTAGTTTAATAATTAAACTAATGACTAAATCACAATAAAAAAAAATATATAATCAAGAATTTCCAAAAACAATTATGTTCTTTTGATTTTTAAATCACTTACGAAACCCCAAAAAGAAATTCACTCTTCAAAGTCAATAATTTCCAAAAAAAAAATCATGTTCTTCTGCACTTTTGTGTAACATCAATATATTTTTTTGGTTAATTTTCTTATAGACATGGGAAGTAACGTATCTGTTATGAAAATGTTATTATAAATGCATGGTAAATTAAATTTATCTAAAATTAATACTCCTCCAAAGGCCCATTAAAATGGTTTTGAATTTATTAAAATGGGGATTCGGCTTTGGATTATTATTATTAGCCCAATAAAGGCCCAATAAAAATGCTTTTGAATTTTATTAAAAATATGTAATGGGCTTTAGCTTTTATTATCTATACAAACACCGTTTGTTTTTATATTCGATCTGCAATTCTCACGAGGCACCGGGCGGCGACGGCGGCGACGGAAAAGGCGATGAGTTCGTCGGCAGCTCTTCGCGATATGCAGAGAGACCTAGAGAACAAAGCCAACGATCTCAGCAAAATTCAGAAAGGCAGGTTCCTCGCTCGGATTCTCGGAGCTGTAAACCCTAGTTTTCTTGTGCTCAGTTTCGTGAGATGATGAATCCTGATGTGTTCGTCCTTTTTCATTTCTCAGATATCGCGAAGAATCACCAGTTGAGGAAGAAGTATACGATCCAACTTGGTGAGAATGAACTCGTGCTTAAGGTATGTGCCTCACAGTCCTCTCCGATTGTTGTCGCTACACAAGTGATTGTTTTACCCAGAGAATGCGGAGAAGATTGAACGAAGGATACGTTTTGAACTGGGTATTGCGGGCATTGTGTTGAAATCTGATGTATGGCGGTGGGGAAATTGGAACAAAAATGATTTCGATGCCAATGCTTATACTTTTAGTTCCGGTCTGCAAGCTCATGCGTGGAAGATTTGTTTCTTTAGGAGTTGGATTTGTTGGAAGAAGGGGCTAATGTGTACAAATTGATTGGTCCGGTGCTAGTGAAGCAGGATTTGGCAGAAGCAAACGCAAATGTTCGCAAAAGAATTGAATACATTTCTGCCGAACTGTAAGTTTCTTGACGCGGTTCGAATCAGATATCCGTTGTGAAAGTGAAGTTTAATTCCGAGCCTCTTCACGAGAGAGAATTTGCTATATCCATCGCACTTTGTTCATTCGGTAGTGCTAATTTAGTAACCATTTCGATAGTCTTGTGCTTCTTCTATACAGAATTAGATCTTTGTCACAGTTGTCCTGAATTCTGATAGTGACGACCCATCATTTTCAAGCTCAGTTTGGGCAATTATGCTGCCTAGTTTTCCTGGGTAAATATTGTGATCATTATGGTATCTGGAAACGTTCTTGATGTCCGGGCTGTATTGTTAGTGCTCTAAAGGATTCAAAAACCGGTCTCCGGATTTAACATACAGCATCATGGTCTCAGTAATTAGTTCTATTCTTTGCAGGAAACGGCTTGATGCGATTCTCCAAGACATGGAAGAAAAACAAAACAGCAAAAGAGATGCGGTATGTTTCAATCTCCTCTTACACCTTGGCTCATACGACATGTACTTATGTGAAGGGCGTGTATATATATATATATATATATATGTTCATGAGGTTGTATGAGCTCATCTAGGAGGAATGCTTATGGACATTTTAGCCCAACCTGACAAGATACATGCCTTCTGTTAATGTTATAAATTATAATGCCCTTATCCACCGATCTCTGGAGAATTCTTGGACACGAAATGTGATTGTGCATTCGGTTTATTGCTGGTTGAGAGCAATTCGGCTAAAAGGGAATATCAGATCGAGTTTTGTTAGCCCGCTACCTGTGTGCAATATCGATTTTCGTCTCAATGTGCAGTCTGTTCGCCTAATTGCTCTAATGCATCTGATCAATGTTTTGAGCAGATATTAAAGTTACAACAAAGGCTCCAGTCTCTTCAGGCAGGAAAAGCGAAGGCGTAGTTAAGCTGCTGAGGTATTCATTGTCTTTTCTTACCATCTTTTGTCATTGTTCTGCCTCTGTAGTAGTGTCCCACGTTCTGCATTTTAGTTCTGACAAGTTTTTTTTGGGGGGGAGATACCCTTTTGTGTTGTGTGTGGGCAACTTAAGTGTAGTTTTGGATCGTGTTTATGTTTAGAACACGACACTGGCTCGTGATTTATACCAAAATTACTCGAAAATCGGATCCGATTTTCGAGTACTCTTCTTCATTCAAATACAAATATAAATCCATGAATACCTGCAAATCCAAATCCGAATCCGGGTAATATTTTTTTAAAAAAAAAAACAGATATTCGTGGGTACTGTTTTGCTATAAACAATTATACTCTAAAATTTTATAATATTTTGATAAAATGTGGAGATTGTGTCTGTATGCGAGATTGTGCCTTTGTTTATATTTATTTTGTCTTTGTAGATTCATATTATTATTATTTTTATTTCAACGTAACTATTGATGTGGTATGTCCATTAAAGCTTCTAACCCGATTGACTTGACAAGTTTAATGGTTCTGTTACGTAGATTTTTGTGGTGTTACCAGAGTTTTTTTGGAAGTGGATAAAATATTCAAAATTAGGTGAATATGATCGGCTCCGATTATGATTCTTGGCCAAAATTGGTTCGTTTCCAAATGATTATGGTCACGAACATATATTTTATTGTTCTTTCCTTTTTCTTTCTTACCACAGACAAATGTGGAATGGTAGGTTCAAAATCTTTATTACCATCGATGTTGGGTTTGGTATGTGAATCTAACATCCAATATACGTAAAAAAAAAAAGATTTTTTTAATAAAAAAGTAAGTAATTTTTAATAGAGATTGAAAATGAAATGAATTTGAATTGAATGCAAATAAAAAAAAAAGAAGAAACCTGACAAAAATGAATAAATATAATGTTTTAAATCTGAATTGGAAAATAAAAGGAAATGAAAGAGAATCTGAAATATGAAATATGAACCTTAAGTACCAAAGTTTGGTTCTTTCCTTACCAATACATATTTTGTATGAATTGGATCATTCATTCTTCTCATATGCTTTTTTTTTTTTGCATGAATTCTAAGTAATATGCTTACAGTGTATTAGGCATTTGGCTCGTGGATACTTTGTGATTCTGCCAAAGGCAAATATCCATTTGAAATTTTATACAACCTAGAAAGATCTGTGCCATCCAAAGAGACAAAAAAAAAAAAAAAAATACAAAAAGAAATCGGACATTCTGTACAATGTAATCGACAAGCTTTGATTTTCTTCACATGGAAAAGGGCATCTCTATGAAATCCAAAACCATACGTATCTTTTCACACGTGGAACAGATTAATATGCACACTTCCATATTGACAATTTCTGTATTCATATATATATATATATATATATATACATATATATATATAGAACTCGTAAACACTTCACGAGGGCCACAGATCTTATGCACAAAAAATGGATTTACAATGAAGAATAATCAAGATTTGCAAAAGGGTATATTATACTTTGGCTCAAAATGCCCTTGGATGAGTCTAATACCTAAATTCTAGAATTATATAAATTCTTCTTAAATTTCAATGTCTATACATACCATACCATGCCATAATTCGCTTTGTTTAAATTGGTCCGCCATTGAAAAGACGACAGAATCTTGTTCGGGTAAAAGTTTAAATCCCTCGTGGGTCTGACCATCTGTCAACGCAAAAAAAAAAAAAAAAACATCTTCAATGTCACGTGACGACCACTGACACTGCAATTCACTTAACGTTGTTTATATGTTTTCATGTAATAACAAGGAGATATTCAATCCCATACAACTTCTACTTGTTTAGGAAAAGAGTTCCACCTTCTTCATTTATAGCTTCTGCACACCAATTTTCACAAATCTATTTTTTTTTTGGTAAAAAAATTTCACAAATATTGTTTTATGTAAATAAATAAGTTATTTACCGGACCAATGCAAAACTCAAATTTTCGAACCATATTACAATGCAAAAAAGTAGCAAAAGAATATCCATTCAAAGCGTGTATATGGACGAATATCTACTATCTAGTCCTTTGTTAATTATATAAACCCCTTTTATTATCTAACCACTACCAAAGTTCTTCAATTACACAAACACAGTCTATATCCGTTGCTTTGTCCTAACGTTTCTCTTCCCTCAGCTTAAAATCATGTCTTGATCAGTTTCTGCCATTTTCTGGGCGTTAGATATACGGATTTCTCGTAAATTCGGAAGCAAATCTTGAGATTTATAGCCATTGTTTTCCATGGAGTTGGTGTAAGCAAATGTTGATGATGGAGATTGAAAGAGACTTCAGTTACTTCTCCGACGATCTCCCCCCATCTCTCGGAGGAGCAAACAAGGCGAAAAAGCTGCGAAAACACGTGATTTCCCCCTTCGATCCTCGTTACAGGTGATGACAGTTAACCTTTTTCCGGTTTTCTGTGTGCCCATTTCTTCGATATTTTGCTTCGGACAATTACTTGCTTAGTCAATGGCTGCGTCAGGGCTTGGGAAAGTTGGCTGACCGTCCTCGTCATTTACTCGGCATGGGTCACTCCCTTCGAGCTCGCCTTCTTAACCTGCAAGAGGGATTCGCTTCTCGTCCTCGACAACATCGTCAACACTTTCTTCGCCATCGACATCATTCTCGCCTTCTTCGTGGCGTACAAAGACAGCCGGACATATCTTTTAGTGGACGATCACAAGAAAATAGCGTTAAGGTTCTTAAAAAATTCTCAGACACTATCCTCTTAGGCAATGAACCGACACATATATATAGTAATTCTGTTCGTTACTCAGGTACGTCTCCACATGGTTCGTTCTCGACGTTTGCTCAACAACGCCGTTTCGTGCTCTATGTATCGTGTTTGACGATGGTGGCAGCGAGCTAGGGCTTAGAGTACTGACAGTTCTCCGGCTATGGCGTTTGAGACGCGTTAGCTTGCTGTTTTCGAGGTCGGACACCTGTTATAGAACCCGTTTTCGTAGAGCTTGCAACGTTTTTTTGGAACCGAAAATCGTATTTTCTCGTCCATTCGCAGGCTCGAGAAGGATATCCACTTCAGCTACTTCTGGATCCGCTGCATAAAACTCGTATCCGTAAGTGGAACGCAAGCTTATAGAAAACCGAAAACTCGATGAACTTGTATTCTAATCACAGATTTCAGGTTACCCTTTTCGCAGTACACGTTGCCGGATGCTTCAACTATCTGATTGCAGCAAAGTATCCGAATCCGGGAAGAACATGGATCAGTTCATTATACCCGAATTTCAAACAAGAGAGTGTCTGGATCAGATATGTTACGGCTATGTACTGGTCTATCACCACGTTAACCACAACTGGTTATGGAGATCTTCATGCTCAGAACTCGCGGGAAATGCTCTTCCAGATCTGTTACATGCTGTTCAATCTCGGGTTGATATCTTACCTCACGGGGAACATGACGAATCTCATTGTGGACAGGACGGGTCGGACCCGAGACTTTGTAAGATCAACTTCTTGTTCTTTTTTCTTCCAGTGAAGTTATTACAAGAAAGATTTACCGACATCCTCGTATTCAAACCACAGATTTACTGACGTTCTCCGTACTGATTCTATGCAGAGGGAAACCGTGAGAGCGGCCTCAGAATTCGCCATGAAGAACAGATTGCCGCCTCGGATGAAGGAAAAGATACTTTCGTATGTATGTTTAAAGTTCAAAGCACAAGGTTTGAACCACAGAGAGTTCATAAATGGCTTGCCAAAAGCCATACAGTCAACCATTTCAAACTCTCTCTTCTTCCCCGTGGTTGAAAACGTGTTTATCTTCCGAGGAGTTTCTCGTAGTTTCATCGCTCAACTGGTAATATATATATTCTTATACTGGACCATGTTCAGTCACTTGACAGTACAACTGATCCGATCTTTCTGTCCAAAAGGTTTCAGAGTTCGAAGCCGAATGGTTTCCGCCCAAGGAAGATGTGATTCAACGGAACGAACTCCCGGCACATCTCTATATATTGGTCACGGGTGCAGCGGTAAGACTCGGGATCTTGACTTTAATTAGTACCCGAAAAGCAATATCGAGTTTTAACTTCTGTTTAGCCATGATCATGCAGGATTTGATAACGTATGTTGATGGAAAAGAACAAGTAAGTGTGATTGGTAATATTTTCAACAAAGATCAGTTCTTACATTGATCAAGAGACAATACAGATCTAAAGTCGAATCCTGACCAAACATGCAGACTATCTGCAAGGTAGATGCAGGGGATACATTTGGAGAGATTGGAGTTTTATGCAATGTCATGCAGCCTTTTACAGTTAGGACAAGCAAACTGTGTCAGATTCTAAGGCTTGAAAGATCATCGCTCATGAACCTCATGAGAGAAAATATGGAAGATGGGTGCAAAGTGGTGAAGAACCTTTTCATGGTAATGTGAAATTGTGGATATCCGGTTACATTATGATTGGAAATTTACTTATTCACGTGTCCATGCATCTGCATGCATGCATGCAGAAGATTAACAGGTTGGAGACAGTTGATGAGTTTCCTGCAACCAGGGATCCATATATTTACCTGAAGGAGCTACTTGATGTAAGAACAAGATTTCAAGATTATGCAGACAAAGACATGTTCATAAAGGATGTGAGAGCATTCACTAACAATGCAAATTCAATAGCAGAAGATGGCAAGAAAGATAAGAAACGTGATACTGGCAATGCGCTGTTTCGTGAAGGTAGCGATCTGAAAACAAGATTTCCCGTTATAAGAAATCTGTCTGAACAGAGTGCTACAGAAACGTATGAACATAGGATAGATATTGTCCCACAAGAAATAGAAGAGGACCCCCGAAAAGTTACAAGTTACAGCAGCAGACACATAAGTGCAAGAAGCACTCGGACAGAACATGGTGACAGAGAGACAAATCAAATAAAAAAAGAAGAGAATTACCATCCACTTGCAACGTCAAAAGCAGAAGGGGAAGTTGATTTTATTGCCCGATTCCATAGATGAGCTGCTAAGAATTGCCGGTAAGCTTTTCCTCGAAAATACTTATCTTGAATACATGTCTGAATATTAAAAAACGATATTCGATTACAAATTCCGAGCGATGAAAGGTCGTTACATATTCTCTTTCTGTAATGTCGTGAAACTGCAGGTAACAAGTTTGGGGGATGCAGGTTCGTGAAGGTCGTTAACAATGGAAACGCCGAAATAGATGATATAAATGTTGTAAGAGATGGTGACCACTTGTTTTTGCTTGAAAAATAGCAGTATATGCAGATGTAATCTTGATCATGATTCAAGAACAGCAATTTAGCTGGAAAAAAGGGGGAAAATTGCAGCAATATGTAGATTTTCGGCAGAAAAACTCGATCAGATCGAACACTAAAGCTTCAGATCACGTTTTAAGGAAGAAACTCTATGGAGAAAAAGGTACCATTATGGGTAATATTCAAGAGAAAATACATTAGAAATGCAAAATACTAGCAGCTAGAGAAGAAAATTGTATATTATATAAAGAGAGACGAAGAAAATTCTTACTTCAACTTTCGGTATAACCTATGATCTAAGTATATCACATCAGAAAGTTAAGTATTTTCTCAAGAAAATAACATGTTTTCTTACTTCAAGTGTATGTGTGTATATATATATATGAATGTTTCTGCACAAAGGGTACTCATTATTCATATGGATTTTTACAGAAACCCTATTTTTGGGCCTGCAATTTATTATTTTTTTCCCCTTAAACGTGAGAATGGATGTGTTCATGATTTTGATGTGGAATTCTTTTTGCTGCCCTCTTGGACTTCTTGCTTTAGAGACTCCATAATGCTCTTGAATTCTTCAAAGGTTAATGCTTTTCTGTGAATTTCGTCATCTTCGGGTCTGTCTTCGGGTCTCTCATCTGTCATCCGGAAACTGCTCTGGATTTCTCTAAACTTGTTGAATGAATTCAAGACTTGTTCCTCGGGATCGCCTTGGAGAAATTGGATTATAGCCTGTGTATGAACCAGCTTAGATTATCAATTGGACATGCTGTAATGAGAAAAAAAAATGATTTAAGATATATATATATATATATATATATAATCACATGTTATAGCAATGAAAATCTTAAAGAAACTTTATATTATATATCTGTTTGCCTTGTAAAGTGGACTTCTTGCATCTGTAATGAGTTCATCCCCCAAGCACTTGCATTTTGAAGCCTTTTGGATGTTCCCCTATATATATTACATAGAAACAAAACCAAAAAACCATGTAATATAATGTTAATTTTATGCATGATCATATATATGCGAGCGAGATAATATACAAACAGAAAATGATTACAAGGAAAAGAAAAAAACCAAACCGTATAGATCAACATCTCCACAAGCAACATCTCAATCTCATAAGCTTCATGAACGTTGCCTTCTTTCGTAGCTTTCTCCAAAGCTTTCTTCAACATCTCCACTCCTTTTGCCTCTTTCCCACTCACTTCCATCTTCAATACAGCTCTCTACACAACAAGAACTTTCTCATCTATTAAATCACGATCAAGAACTGCTACCCGAATCTCGATTATTAATTCTATATCGAAAAAAAAACAGCCATAATTTATTAAAACAAATATGATATAGAGACGGGTAAAACCGACCTGAAGTGACACGAAATCAGGATGTTCCTTGGAAAGCAAGGTATCGAATTCATCTTCAGTGTTCTCCAAGGAAGAAGCATTGGGACGGTAAGAGTGGAAATCAAGCAACCTCTGCAATGCTATTTTACCTCCATGGATTGCCCCCAATGACACCGACTTTGAGAGAGTCTTTCTTGCTCCTTTGCTTCTAATTCCTCCTGATAAACCTTCTTTACCGAGATTTTTAACCTTAGCGCCATTTCCTTCTAACGCACCGTTCTTACTGTTACGGTTATCATTGGTATCATCCTCTTTCTTTTTCCCCATGCGTCGACCTATGTAGCTCCATGCTACATAGGCACCAGCAAGGATAAAAACAGGTGCAATTGCTGCCCCATACTTTGTCTTCATGGTGAATTTGTTCTTGGATTGATTCACCATGTACTTGCACAAAAACAATTTTCTCTAGTTTTGGAACATCGAAATTTAAATAAATTTGTTGGAACTTGAAAGTGATTTTATAACACATAAGGGGGAAAGGTGGAGATTTGTGAAGAGAGATGAGAAAGATGAAGTATTCAAGTTATTCTTGGGGTTAGGCCATTGCTTGGAGGGCAGAGAAGTAATAAAACGCCAAAATGAGACAAGAATATGCATCTCAATTCTCACCAATTATTAACTTCAATGCCTTAACACATTAGGTTTCTAAAATAAGAGTTAGTTCAGATTCTAATGCCATGTATGGTAAATATATATATGTATGTTATCAGAAATAAATAGAGATATACCAGTGATAGGTTAAAAAAACCCTAAATACAAGTATTTACAATACGACCCTTCTATACATGAGTAGTTTCATATTTGTCATTATACAGTGACGTGATAAACGTTGGGCCGTACATACGTGTTTGAGTATTACGGGCAAAGCTTGTGATGCTTTATGTTAAGCCGAAGTTACGTGTTGATGAAGTAACGTCTTGATACTTTCCTTCGCAAGCCCTAAATCTCTTAAATGTTCTTCTGCACAGACACTAACACACACAAAATTTAAGAACCAAATCGTTATACAGAAAGATCAACCGATCACGAAGAGGAAAAAAAAATTAACCCCAAAAAAAATGGCTTCCACATTTCTTCTGGGTCATGCCCCGAAATTCACAATTCCCATCTCTTTCACTAATAAACCCATTATCAGATCACGAAACCCAGTTCGTGATTTCTCCTGCGATGGCTGTCAAACCCATCGTTCCTTCTTTAGACCGATCATAATGGCCAAAGACGACAGAAACGGCAACAAGGCGAGCCGTCATCGCGATGAGAAGAAGCTCTTAACGCCATTGAAAATGGTGGCCGGAGCTTCGCTGGCCGCTGCTTGCGCCTTAAGTTTCTTCGGCTGCAAGTTAAAGAATATGAACCCTAGCCCGGCGATTGCTCAGCCGAGCGCCGCCGACATGATGATATGGGAAAAGCCGCCGGTCTCGGCCCTGTCGAATTCCGGGATGTACCCTTTCCAGGCGAAATCGGCGTTGAGATCTCTCTTCGACGTGACCGCGATGCTCGCCTCTGAAAAACCTATCCCTCCATCTAAAGGCTCCTTCAATCTTCGCAAGCTCCCTCCTTTTCCGTCAAGGGAAGATATCGATTCCATCAAGGTCATCTTCTCGATCTATATTTCATATATATATATACTGTTCGGAAATTTAACATTTTCGCATCTCGAAAACGTATAGCTTGAAGCTATAAGGCGGATGAAAGCCGGGAAATGCGAAGAGGCAGTGCAGATACTTCGAGACGCAAATATGAAGTACAAGAACGAGCCTGAAGCCGAGTTCAGTGTGCAGATGGCATTAGTCGAAATACTGATATTGCTGGTGAGTATTATCAATCTTGATATATCATATAGTTAATCATCAAAATCAAATGTTGTTTCATATACTAAATTTCAACAAACAAATATTGAATCTTTTTTATTAAATTTATATGTATGATCGTTTTTTTGGGGGTTGCAGGAAAGATATGGAGAAGCTGCAGAGTATAGATGTATAAGCGATGAGCATAGCCACATTTCTGATGTTCGGATCCCTCTTTACAAGGTTTCATGAGCAAATCCTCGTATTATTTATTCTTTAATTTCGATTGGATATGATGAAATTATCGATATAATTTTTTTATAATAAAGATTTATTCGAACATATATACAACGCGGTTCTGTGTATTTTCATTGATGTGGAATTATAGAATAATTGTTATTAAATTTGTGAATAAACAGGCCATTATATACACGATGCTAGACAGAGATTCGGAGGCCAAACAGTGTTGGAAAGAGTTCAGAAAATCTATCGGAGAAGGCGTTGACTTTGACCCTTTCAGTTTCGGAGACTGAAATTTCCCATTATTTTCACCAGAAAAGATTTTAATTTTTTTTTAAAATTTATTATAACTCTTCCATAAATATTTTCCCCCATGGACAGTGAAATAACTATGTGAATAATGTATACACATATATCTGCCTAAATGTTATAAAAATTATTTATTAATGAGAATTTTCATTCATTCCGCAGTATGCAATTCTTAATGGTTTTCCATTTTGAGCACAAAAAACTTTAATTAGTATTTGTCATTGTATAAAAAAAATATATAAACTGTTGAAGCCCAAAGCCTAGCCCAATCCATGGACTGGACTCCGTATGTGATCGTGTTGTTGTTGTTGTTATTATTATTATTATTATTATTATTATTATTATTAATATTATTATTATTATTATTATTATTATTATTATTATTATTATTATTATTATTCGTATTCTGATTCCGGTTGATGATCCTTTTGTATCATGATATCATATGTCGAACATAAGGCATGGACAAGCCACATTATCTGATTCGACTGCTTTCTCGTTCACTGAGTTCGACTGTCTGAAATAGACGACGTTCGTCTATAGTGCGGCCACACATTTCTACAGTCTCGCTCACACGAGGGGCCCAGCGATATCTCTCTCTTTTACGAGAGGTACAAATCCCGTCTTGACTATCTACAATCCAGTACATGATTCGTTTCGTACCTGATACACGTCTTTATAGTTCTCCTGTTACGCAGAACGTTTGACGTATTCAAAGTACGCAACTCCTCATGTTGGATTCCGTAGATATCTCAGGTCTTAGGATCCAATCATGGAACCGCCATATGAGATTCAAGTCATGACGCTAGTCCATGTGACAATCTCATGCGGGTCAATCCAGTATTCCGTTCTCCAACGAATACCTATGACTGTGATCGTATCCAATACTTATGATCATTTCTATGATCATCAATCACACATCATACTAGTCTTATTATGTCGTTATTCCCAGAACGACACAAGACTAGAGAGTTTAGTATCATTCATAATGATACATGGATTTCATAACAGATCTAGTATGCAAGAACATGTAATGAATCAAATACTCTCATAAAACCATAGGAAGTATCAATACATCGAATGTATCTAAATAAAGCTCATGAACAGTACATCATAGAGTACTAAACCAACAGTCTCCTATTGGCTTAACAAAATAATAAGCTGTTAATGAAACATCACGCATCACGACAACTGGATCTGTACCATTCCCAGAAGCGAATGCTACAGAAAACAAGTCATTCACTGAAGCAAATGCTACAGAAAAAACATCATTCCCTGGAGCGAATGTTATGTCTTATAATGGCCGAGGACGTGGTTATTTTCGAGGTAGAGGCCGATGCCGAGGTCGAAGACGCGGTCGTGGTGCTAGCCGAAGTTGGATCAAAGGAGGTGGTAAAGGAAACTCATCCCAAAACTATAATTTAAACAGTAATAAAGGAGAAGTGCATGACCATCCAAATAAGAGGCTGAAAGAAAGTACATGCTACCGGTGTGGAATGACGGAACATTGGTCGCGTACTTGCCGCACAGCTAAACACCTGGTGGAACTTTATTAGAAGTCAATTAAAGAAACAAAAGGGAAAGACATGGAGACCAATCATGTCATGAGTGATTATGATGATGATGCTAGTGGTGCTAAAGACTTTGCACACATGGACATTGCTGATGATTTTGCTCATCCTGAAGATGGAGCCGGTTATGAATAAAAACTATATAAATATTTGCATACTTCATATAATCAATATTATCTGCATATGCATTTTCATAATTTCATGATATGTTGTTGTGCTTTGTATCACTATTTTTACTTCATAAGTTAGTAATGCTATTATGTATTATTAATATATCTATTCTTTAATGATTGTCATGTTGTTTTGTTCTTAGAAAAAGAATATGGCTAATTCTGTGGATATCATATTGAAACTATGAATGAGAATGACAATGATTATTTATATATCACCTTAATCAATTCGGGATAAAAGTATATATTGGAAAAACTATCCATTCTATCATCGAGATTATATTATACTAATATCAATGTGATTGAATCACATGTCATAGTAAACCAGAAGTTTACTAATACGTTCAAAGTTTGGCATGATCGATTGGGTCACCCGGTGCATTACGATGAGAAAAATCATCGAAAACTTTTATGGTCATCCATTGAAAAACCAGAAGATTTTTCAATCGGGTGAGATTTCTTGTGATGCATGTTCCATAGAAAAATTAATAATTATACCATCACAAGTCAAAATCGGGCATGAATTTTTGGAAAGTATATATTGAATACATTCGTCATCCATTATACGATATCTTGAGCCATAAACTGGAGATATTTTTAAGGCTCATTTTGCTGATTATCATTTTAATGAAATTGAATCCCACCATTAGGGGGAAAAATTATAGAATGGTGGAAAATAGAAATGATCATAATTGATGTACACCATCATTATCCCATTTGATCTCCCAGCAAAACAACGAAAACTAAAAGTTCAAAGGATTATACATTTGCAAAATGTTGCAAATCAGTTACCTGATACATTTGCAGATAGAACTAGGGTAATAAGATATTATATAGATGCTGCAAATGTTCCTACTCGGATTGAAATTCCGAAAGAACAAATGAAAGAAAATTCGACAAACGATTCCAAAATATGCCTGAAGCGTGGACGACCTATTGGTTCTAAAGACAAAAACCCCCGAAAAAGCAAAGGGCCCAAGAAAAATGAAATGCTCGATTCGGAGGAACGTGTTCCAAATCAAAGAAATGAAGTACCTTGTAATGATGGTACAAATTATATATATATATATATATATATATCAATTAATAAAATTAAAGAAATCAATAAATAAATACAGTTTCACGGAATCATCGTTTATATTCATAAAAAATGACAGATTAAGTATCGATCCAAACTGTCCAAAAATATAATAGTTTGTTAATACGGAAAGTGTCTCTTACAAAATTTATTCTCATTTTGTATTTAATTGGATTCCAAGTTCCAACGTTAGTTTTAACTTAAATTTATTTTATTCAAATGGTGCATATTATTTTAGAAATCATATATTTCATATTCAACAAAAATTAAAATATTATAAATACACAGAATATTATAATCCATGTGTTGTCATTTTTAGGGTTTCGATAACAGGGTTCTAGGTTATCTGCATATCATAATTTTTTATTATAATTATATGAAAAAAAATAGGCAAAGCAATAGAATTTAAATAGAAGATCGTGATGTTTTTGAAAGAAAAAAAAACTGATGTGCAAAGAAATCCAGACTTCAATCTAAACTTTTTTATACAAATGCTTTTTAAAAAATAATAATATTATTATTAATAATTAGTGCAATATGTACATGGTCCACGCCTAGTGAATAATAATTAGCAAGAGCCAGCGCCATTGACAAGCCAATCAAATTCTGAAAACTTAATAGCGAGACAAGAAAAATCAAACAAAAACCCAAGCCCTAGTTCCTCTCAGACTGGTCCATGTACACATAACATAACCTTTTTCGATTTCTATTTATATTATTGTACTCTTGATATTATTTTTTTGGTAATATAAAAATCCAGGAAAGGTGGTTGTCAAAATAGCTTTCTAGACTTTGACATATAATATATTATGGGTGAAAATATTGGTGAATTTGTTTTTCTATACACACCCATATCTTGAGTTATTTTGTTAGTTCGGTTATAATCTGTGCATTCTGATTCAGAAAAAAATAATTTTATTAGGAATGTGTAAATATTTTAAATTGAATAAAATAGAGGATGGAGAATATATTTTTAATTATATTATAAAATTTAATTTTCAAAATTGTAAGACCACCAACACCAACTCTCTCTCTATATTAACATTTATACCCGCCTTCTATTGTAATACTCCACTTGTTGTTTTACCTACCACCTTTAGATATTTTCATATACATTCATGCAATACTTACTTTTCAATACATGGATGATACTATTCCATTATATATATATATATATATATATATATATATATATATATATTCGCATGAGGTTCTGA